TGCAGGGTTGACAAACTTGAACCTAAAGAGTACACGTATACATGTACATATATATTGTATATTCTTAAACTACATACGAAAAGCGGATAAGTGAATATTTTTAAATATACTGACCATATAAACCTACTCAAGGCGGATCAAGGAATATTCCTAAGGGACTTATCGGTAGACACATCTTTTAATTATACCCCCGCTCCGAAGCCAAGGAGAGGAAGGGGAAAGGGGTATACTGTTTTACCGCTAGTAGTGTGTTTGTCTATGTATCTAGCTGTTTGTGTGTATGTCCGTAATAAAGTTTTGATCGCAATTTTTGCAGCAGCTACTCATCAAAGATGCTTGAAATTTTAGCATATTCTTCACTGAGGCATGCTTTATCGTGGCATCTATTTTTTTTTTTTAATCCGATGTCAACTGCCTCTTAATCCGTGCGTCTGTCGTACAAAACATAATTAACACATTTCCGTCGCAGTTTTTTCCAGCAAGTACATATTATATACATATATATTACTTATATTGCAGATGCTTGAAATTCTAGCACATACTTTGTTACGGCATGCGATATGATGGAAGTTATTTTTGCATGAATCTGATGTCAACTTCCTATTTGTCCATGCATATGCCCGTAACTGAACTTGTGTAAATTTTAATTAACATATAAGTGTATGTATTTTCACATCAGAGCGGGGTATTACTAGCGAGCATTGGCTCACAGACTTGTCGTTTGTCCAGCCCTGTTTTTAAAAATATACAAGTATGTAGTTTACTTGCATAAAATTTCCCGAATACTTTGTTTTTTGTACATATACATGAACGTATATTTTTAAAAATCAATACATACGAGTAAGTGCAACACTTTTTACGAATACCGGTATTGGAAACGTTGACTTGATAATGAAATCATTCAAATTTGAATTAACCTACATTTTTTTCAATATGATATTGTCGTTTCTCTAGGTTTCTTTTCCTTTCTAATTGTGTATGTATTTTTTTATTGCTGTGTAAGGTGGAAACAATAAAATTGTATTTTTACGAATTGTAATTTAAATCGAACAAGAAATAAGATTAAATGTAAATTAAAACAAAGATTTATTCAGTGAACCAAACATCTTTTCTCTTCAGTTATATGAGTATGAATTACCTTAATTTTTTTGTGTAATTTATCAATTCCTTCTGTCGATTTTTGGACACATTTTTATCAAATATTTACATTAAAAAATCATTTGTCGAATTTGATAAATTCTGGAACATAGGTCCCATTTCACACAATATTGGGGGACAACCACATCACCAACCCAGTGGTTCAAGTGCATGGTTGGCTTATTTAGTGTCAAAAGAAATACCTTCTTAATTTGTCTCGCACCCCAATTTTCGTGTAATAAATCCAACGACTCGGACATATTAAAACGAGGAAAAATATTTTTATTTGCGAAATATATTAGAATGGAATTAAGAAAAATATTATCGTATCATTTATTGTCATACCATCAAAACTTTACGTGGTATCAGAGCAGAAAACGTCAAAAAACGCAATGTGCGTTAAAGTGCGTGAATGTGGGGTAAAGGTATATGCGTTAAAATGCGTGACTGTGGGGAAGGGGGTTAAAGGGTAATGGGGTTTTATGAATAGACTTACTTTTACATTCGACAGCTGACTTTTACATTTTTGTTATTTGAGTTGGTCTCTGTTTAAATTGTAGAAGTCAGTCGTCGATTGTAAAAGTAAGCCTCTTCATAAAACTCCAATACTCACAGGGAAGATGTACACAAAGGGTTGAACTAGTGATTTTTATACGACTCCACCCTAAAAGAACGACCAGTCTTTTCCCTTTCCCATGACAACTACCAAAACATCTTTTTCAATAACGTCGTACGATTTCTCCCTCTCCTACAGTTTGCCGCTGGCGTTTGTCACGGGAATTTTCTCATCACCCTCTACAAGAAGTAGAACCGTGCCTTCGTTATTACGTATAATAAACGATTTGGTAGATGTCGGGCTTCAGAATAGGGCTTGAACATAAAAACACTGTTTCATAGAATTGAACCTTATTTTGTAGACACTCTTTCCATTGACTCTTGATGAAAAGTTAGAAATAAACTTCCCGGTTTTTCGTCTACGTTCTGGAGCATTCTTGATTGCTTCAATCTTGCCATCTTTTGGCTTCAGATGTTGACCGTTCACAAGAAATCCGAAACAATCAATCTCATCAAATCCAACAAGACATTTGGAACCCTGTCTCGTTGCAACGCCTGCATCTCTCAAGTCAGATGAACAAAACTTTCAGTTTTGTAAACAAATGTATCAGCCATAACCATGATGATATCGATGAAATTTTCCGCATTCTTCATGACATGGAGAAGACTGCGCACCAATCTACTGAAAGAAACTGGGGCGTTTACTAACCCAAATGGCATCTTTCTAAGATTGGTACAAACCAGCAGTTTTAGAAAATGAAGTCAGTGGTTTGCTATCCTTGCTAAGCCCATAGCAAATGCAAGGGCTATGAAATGAATCAACAAAAATAGTAGTTGATCTTCGATTTAATTCTTGTAGACCTAAATTGAATATGGTGTAATAGGATAGCGCTCAATGGCTATCTCACTTCAGACACCAATGATTTTCTAGCGGTAAGCGCTGTATGGCTATTCACGAAAATGCATGATGGTAAAAGGGGATGATCAGCCTCAATCCTTAATAAATTCCAAGGCAGACATTTATAAAGAATAATAAGGTACTCCAGTAAAATGAAAATAAATGAACAAGAGTAAAATAACTTGAGATGATGGTTTATTGAAGAGATAGTACTAATTAATCAAAACAAATAAATAATTGGCTGCAGTCGTCTGTGAAAAATTCTCTTCATCAAAAATACTTTACGAAATTACACAGAAAAGATATTTAAATTTACAACATATTAAATTGAAACTTGTCAAATATTTAAATTAATCTGAAAATTCCGATAAAAATCTAGCCAAATATATAGGAAAGAGAAAAGGGGTGGAGAGTCCCTGTTGAACAACTGAACTCTTTTTTTTTATACTAACAGGAAATGGACTCCGTTCCAAACTAATGGAATCTGATGAAATATAATGGTATGTCCTTTCAAAGAGATGATATATATGTTTTTTAAGCACTTAAACCCTGTGTGGTATTTTAAAAGTTAAATTTGAAATCAATATGAGGTTAAGTTTGACGTTCCTCAAGGTAAGGTCGTCTTCCAATGCCCCAAGAATTATGACTTTAACCTTTGAACTTGTGATCTAAAATCAACAAGATCTATAGTCATTTACTACTTAGGGAGTATCAGTCGGCAGATGTCTGACAAGAAATTATTCTTTTTTATACCGAGCTAGAAAAAAATCATCCTTTGTCCATATTCTTTGATCCTAGCTATCTTGACCTTTAATCTTGTAACCTCAAAATCAAAAATAATTTGTATATACATGTTGTATATAACTCTAACTTTTAAAGTAATAATACATTTGCATTTTAATAAAATAATAGAAAAATGACAAAAACTTGAGGCATGAGAAATATATAACTTTATGTTTCTATACCATATAGTTTACAAACATATATTAAACAATTGATATTACATTAATTATAACATATCTTTTCATCAAATAATTACAAATAATTCAAATTACACAACTAAATTCTTCATTCCCCAAATGACACAGAAAAGAAGGGTATCCTACTATTCTTTTTAAGTATTACAATCATATTTCAAATTAATGATTTCATAAAATGAAGTACACAATATCTCCAAGTATAGGTATGGCTTAGATTAAATCTGTCCTTGATCTGTTTTATTTATTGTTCTTAAACTTTTAAAAAGGAAAATTAATTTTTATATGCTACCTATATTTCTTATTTTCACATATGTTGAAGTTAAGAGTTATATGATACAAAATGATACAATTGCCAAAAATATAGAAAGATATCACTTTTTACCAATTATTTTGCTCTATTCTGTTGTAATAGATTCTATTAAGCTTTCAAAAGCTTTAAGCAGTATTATTGCTTTGTTAAGAGAGTGTTTTTTTTAAATACTTGAAAACCTAGTCCATATCATAGTTATATTAATTTCAGACATTTCCAAAAAATTCTTTTTGTCTTTTATTGTTAAATCTATTCTTTGTTTAGTACCACATGTATTATAGTTATTTTAAGCAGAAAAAATAACCCATTTTCATTCACCACAGCATAGCCAGAAATATTGTCCCTGTTAGAATTCTAACTCGATCATTAATTTTATATTCAAAGTTGCATGAACCATGTGTACATGATATGCAAGTACCTCAGCAAATCATTAACTATTCAAGAATTCCCCCTTATAAAGAAGTCAAGACACTACTGATCATGCTCAGAAATTATAAATTATTACATAATATTACATACAATAAATTAGAATGATATACATGTTACATACCTTAAAATTATATAATGTACATATTACATATTTTCAAAAATTCATTAATAATTCATTAAAAATATATAAAAAATAAGTGCTAGCCCTTTTAAAATCTACATTGTGTTAATGCCTAGATATGGATATCAACATATATATTCCTAGCTAATAAATACACACCCACCTAATAAATCTCTTTAAATATGACTTGATTCCCAAATCCCACCCAAAAATCAAAACTTAGGAAGGCGCTAGCATTACTAATTAAAGACATTGTGCTAATCACTACACTACTGTAATGGTTTGGACTGTGTGGATATTATAGGTCATACATTTTCTCCTAAATTCCTGTTACACTATAGCTGCCAACCATTAGCAATAAAGATGTACACAATGTCATATATTGTAGTCCAAAACCAACAAGACCTTAATTTATCTCAACTTCCACAATTACATAAACTTCATGTGCTTCAATGTTAACTAACAGAAAGGCATCCAATATGATAAAAAAGGTGATAAAGACCTAAATAAAGCAGATTATAGAAATTAATGGACTAATGTTCAGGCAACACAGAAGCATAAGTCATCCAGGCATCCACTATCATCACAATGAAAACAAATATGTAATCTATTGAGGCATACTATTGAGATATGAGGTAATATAATAATACATAGAAATATTGTAATGCTTCCATCCTCTCTATATAAATATGCCCCAATCTTCCCTAAGAGTAGTGAATCAAATACAAAAAATTTGCTAAACATGCAGTTATCTGGCTGTTTTTTAAAATCACATTGAATTTGATTAATAGTATGAATTGTGTTTCAATGTGGAAGGATTTAAGCTTTAGCTCCAATTTATCAATGGGCATAAGGATGCTGTGCTGGACATTAAAATGTATCCCACATCCCCTCACAACCCTCCCTCTATATTGACTGTGCTACATACATACAATCCTACCTCCATATTGGCTGTGCTAAATATTACATATTATATCCCACATTCCCACGCAGCCCTCCCTCCATATTGGCTGTGCTAAATATTACATATTATATCCCACATCCCCTCACAACCCTCCCTCCATATTGGCTGTGCTACATACATATTGTACCCCACACCCCCTCACAAGCCTCCCTCCATATTAGCAATGCTACATACATATTGTACACCACATCTCCTCACAACCCTCCCTCCATATTGACTGTGCTACATACATATTGTACACCACATCCCCTCACAAACCTCCCTCCATATTGGCTGTGCTAAATATTACATATTATATCCCACCTCCCCTCACAACCCTCCCTCCAAATTGGCTGGCTACATACATATTGTACCCCACATCCCCGCACAAACCTCCCTCCATATTGGCTGTGTTACATACATATTGTACCCCACATCCCCACACAAACCTCCCTCCATATTGGCTGTGTTACATACATATTGTACCCCACATCCCCACACAAACCTCCCTCCATATTGGCTGTGCTAAATATTAAACCTTGTATCCAACATCTCCTACCAACCCTCCATCCATGAGGAAATACTGCTGAGATTTAAGGGAGTGTGACTAACCACTGTACACAGTAATAAAACACATTCATTACTAATACTTCACTCTTTCTGAACAAATTACAATAAATAGTCACTATATAAAGTTTCCACCCCCCCTAATTTGTGTTATCTTCTATCTACTGATTCAACAATTTTTTTATTCTGCGGGGGAGAAAGGATGACTATGGTACCTGTATTCTTGAAGGTCACTGTGACCTATATTTACATTTTGTCCCAACTTCATCTAGATCAAATGATTCATTCATCAATTATCTTAAGAATTAGTAGTGATACAGATCATTGCACAATGATGAACAAATTAAACATTATTCATAGATAAGCTAGCATATATGTAATGAATTCAATATGTGCATCAATCAGCTAGCCCATTAGAATTCTTAAGTATCCTCAAATTCATCAACAGTCCAAGATCAAAAAATACCTCGCTATAATAATATCTGATGGCAAAATAAGTCATTGTTACGTACAGGTAGGTATTACTATGCTTTCTATAAGTTAATATTTATATACTTGTACACTCCTCAAAATTCTTCAATGGATAGGGCTTTCAGTTGAAAATATGACCCAAATGAAAAAACAGCAATAGGAGCCATTTAGAGAAGTCATTGTGACCTACTTTAGGGGTATGTTATATCCTCCATTTTATGATGGTTTGAATAAGGATTAAGCCTCAACCCATATCAGAAAGGCAACATATTCATGCTTACTAAAAATTTTCAAGAACACATGAATCCCATAAAAAACAATATAACCATGCACACACCGATTTAGCATCCAAGAAAATTTCAGTACATAAACATGTCATCTCACTGATTCAGGCTTCAACCCTTAAAAGTTAAGTGAATTACACAATTTCCACAGTGAAAAATGGCAAGTTTGCAAGGGTAGCATGTAACGAGTCTCACAGCTCTTACCACTCTCTTAATCCCAATAATGGGTAGCACATAATGAGTGTCACAGACCCATCCCTACTCTCTCTAAGAATACAGATTAAAGTAAAAAGAGTCCTTCTCTCAAATCCTAATACTGGGTAGTAAGCTCCTCCCTCTCTCCAAATCTCAATACTGGGTAATTCATAACAAATATCACAACCCCTCCCTCTCTCCAAATCTCAACACTGGGTAGCACGTAATGAGTCTCACAACCCCTCCTTCTCTCTAAATCCCAATACTGGGTAGCATGTAACCAGTCTCACAACCCCTCCCTCTCTCCAAATCTCAATACTGGGTAGCCTAACCCCCCTCCCTCTCTCCAAATCTCAACACTGGGTAGCATGTAATGAGTCTCACAACCCCTCCCTCTCTCTAAATCCCAATACTGGGTAGCACTGTGAGTCTCACAACCCTCCCCCTTCTCTAAATCCCAACACTGGGTAGCACATAATGAGTCTCACAACCCCTCCCTCTCTCTAAATCTCAATACTGGGTAGCACATAATGAGTCTCACAACCCCTCCCTCTCTCCAAATCTCAATACTGGGTAGCATATAACGAGTCTCACAACCCTCCCCCTCTCTCCAAATCTCAATACTGGGTAGCATGTAATGAGTCTCACAACCCCTCCCTCTCTCTAAATCCCAATACTGGGTAGCACTGTGAGTCTCACAACCCCTCCCCCTCTCTCTAAATCCCAATACTGGGTAGCATATAACGAGTCTCACAACCCCTCCCTCTCTCCAAATCTCAATACTGGGTAGCATGTAACGAGTCTCACAACCCCTCCCTCTCTCCAAATCTCAATACTGGGTAGCATGTAACGAGTCTCACAACCCCTCCTTCTCTCTAAATCCCAATACTGGGCAGCACTGCAGGTCTATTAACCCCTCCCTCTCTTTAATAATCTCAATATTTGTTAGCAGGTAACCAGTCTCACAACCCCTCCCAGTATCTCTATTCTACTACTGGGTAGCACTTCAGAGTTTTACCTTTGACCAACATAAGGGGTATGTTAAATCTTCCATTTTAATATGGTTTGAATAAGGAGCCCCATGTCAGAAAGGCAACATATTCATGCTAACTAAAAATTTTCAAGAACACATGAATCCCATCAAAACAATTAATAAGCACACACCGATTTAGCATCCTAGAAAATCTCAGTACATAAACATGTCATCTCACTGACTAAGGCTCCAACCCTTAATAGTTTAGTGAATTACACAATTTTCATGGTGAAAACTGACAATTCAGAAATATGAAGATATTTGAACTTTAATTCATAGATATACTTTTATGTCACCCTTAACTTCTCCAATACTAGACTCCTACTCTTCAATGCAGTGCGACAAATGGACAAAACAAATGCCTTACATTCATCAATGGCATGTACAGATGCCGATTAAAGTATAAAGAATTCCTTTGTATAGGCAGGAAGCCTTAACCCATATACTGTCCAAAATGATGTTACATTGCATCCAAGCTCCTCTCACAACCCCTCTCCCTCTCTAAATCTCAGTACTGGGTAGTTCATAACAAATATCACAACCCCTCCCCTCTCTCTAAATCTAAATACTTGGTAGCATGTAACCAGTGTCACAACCCTTCCCCTTCTCCAAATCTCAATACTGGGTAGCATGTAAAAAGTCTCACAACCCCCCCCCCCCTCTCTCCAAATCTCAATACTGGGTAGTTCATAACAAATATCACAACCCCTTCTTCTCTCCAAATCTCAATACTGGGTAGCATGTAACACGAGTATCACAACCCCTCCCCCTGTCTAAATCTCAATACTGGGTAGCATGTAATGAGTCTCACAACCCCTCCCTCTCTACAAATCTCAATACTGGGTAGCATGTAACAAGTCTCACAACCCCTCCCTCTCTACAAATCTCAATACTGGGTAGCACATAACAAGTCTCACAACCCCTCCCACTCTCTAAATCCCAATACTGGGTAGCACATAACAAGTCTCACAACCCCTCCTACTCTAGAAATCCAAATACTGGGTAGCACATAACTAGTCTCACAACCCATCCCCCTCATTAAATCTCAACACTGGGTAGCATGTAATGAGTCTCACAACCCCTCCCTCTCTCTAAATCCCAATACTAAGTAGAATGTAAACTCTTTCAATTGCAATACTGGTTAGAATGTACCAAATCTCACAATCCCCTCCCCCTTCTCAAAATCCCAATACTGGATAGCTCATAGTCTAACAACCCCTCCCACTCTAGATCCTAATACTGTATAGCATATAATAAGTCTCAAAACCCATCCCACTCTCTCAATCCCAATACTGGGTTGTCCTGCGAGTCTCACAACCCCTCCCCTCATTAAATCCAAATTTTGGGTAACACCACGAGTCTCACAACCCCTCCCTCTCTCTAAATTGCAATACTAAGTAGCCCATAATGAGTCTCACAACCCCTCCTTCTCTCTAAATTCCAATACTGGGTTGCAGTACATAACAAGCCTCGCATACCCCTCCCTCTCTCTAAATCCAAATACTAAGTAGAATGTAAACTCTTTAAATTGCAATATTGGTTAGCATGTACCAAATCTCACAATCCTCCTCCCCCTTCTCAAAATCCCAATACTGAATAGCTCATAGTCTCAAAACCCCTCCCTCTCTAAATCCCAAGACTGGGTAGCACATAATGAGTCTCACAACCCTCCCTCTCTCTAAATCCCAATACTGGGTAGCATGTAATGAGACTCACAACCCCTCGCTCTCTTTAAATCCCAAGACTGGGTAGCTCATAGTCTCAAAACCCCTCCCTCTCTTTAAATCCCAATACTGGGTAGCACTGGGAGTCTCACCTCCCCCCCCCCACTCTCTCTAAATCTCAATACATCTCTCTAAATCTCAATGGGGTAGCATGTAACAAGTCTCACATCCCCTTTCAAACCTAAATCCCAATACTGGGTAACACTACTACAAGTCTCACGACCCCTCCCACTCTCAAAATCTCACAGCAATAAGCCATTTTTAGAAAGAAGTCATTGTGACCTACTTTAGGGGTATATTATAGCCTCCATTTTAATATGGTTTGAATGAGGAGCCTCAACCCATGTCAGAAAAGCAACATATTCATGTTAACTAAAAATTTTCAAGAACACATGAATCCCATAAAAAACAATAAGCATGCACACACCGATTTAGCATCCAAGAAAATTTCAGTACATAAATATGTCATCTCACTGACTCAGGCTTTAATCCTCAATAGTTAAGTGAATTGCACAATTTCCACAGTGAAAACTGGCAATTACAAAATATTTGGATACTTGAACCCTAATTCATAGAGATACTGTAATGTAACCCTTAGCTTCCCAAATACTAGACCCCTACTCTTAAATGCAGTGCAACAAATGGACAAAACAAATGGTATGTACAGATGCCGATAAAGGTATAAAGAATTCCTTTGTGTAGGCAGGAAGCCTTAGCCCATGAACTATCCAAAATAATGATTCTGTTATATTACACCCAACATTCTCTTACAACCCCTCCCTCTCTCTAAATCCCAATACTGGGTAGCACTGCAAGTCCTACAACCCCTCCCTCTCTCTATAAATCTCAGTAATACTGGGTAGCATGTAAGTCTCACAACCCCTCCCCTTTCTCTAAATCCAATACTGGGTAACACTAACAAGTCTCACAACCCAGCTCCCACTCTCTAAATCCACAATACTAAGCATGTTTTTAATGAAGTCTCCTACAATATTATAGCCTCCTTCTCTCTAAATCCCAATACTGGTTTGCATGTGAGCCTCAACCCCTCCATATTTCTCTAAATCAATACTAAGTAGCACACACCGATGCAAGTCCACAACCCCTCCTTCTCTCTAAATCCCAATACTGGGTTGCCCTGTGAGTCTCAAAACTGTAATGTAACCCCTCCCAAATACTCTCTCTCTAAATCCCAAATACTGGGTTGCCCTGTGAAATATGTAACTGTCTGTCAAAATAATGTCGGTTATATTACACAACCCCTCAAAATCCCAATACCCCTCCCCCCCCTCTCTCTAAATCCCAATACTGGGTAGCACTGCAAGTCCTACAACCCCTCCTTCTCTCTAAATCCCAATACTAAGTAGCAGGTAATGAGTCTCACATCCCCCCTCTCTAAATCCTAATACTAGATCGCACACAACAAGTCTCATAGACCCTCCCACTATCTAAATTCCAATACTGGGTAACACTAAATATTAAAGGGTGCATTTTCATAGACCCTTGTTAAACTCAGTATAAATGGGAACCTTCAGCCCTTATTCTTCTAATGGCATAAACTTTTGCAACAGCTACCCCCTCCCCCCACACATTGGAGATTCTGTCCTCTGACATGCCAGTACTTGGCCCTAGCGAGACCATTACATTTCTTATACCCATTTATATTTGTTCAACTTTAATGCCCTTAATTTATGTGATGTCAACACTACAAAATAATGAATATCTCTTCAAAATAAATCTCATAATGAGCTCAAACACAACTCCTTAAGTGTATGCACAAAGATTAAATAGACTGAAAATCCCAAACCTTACTAAAATATCCATATTGAAATTCCAATACAACACTCAAATATTGGACTGAAGGTCACAGTTACACAGACTTAACACATTAATTCTAAGTTGCATCAAATGAAAATATCTCAAAGCTTAGGCCTATTATTAAATTATGTGATCTAGACAAGGATTAGAAGCAGTTGCAGAGGGATCGCAAAAGCCATCCATGGGACTGATAGGGATTAGGACTGACCCCTACCTCCCTCCCCGCAATGATTGGAGAGGGATCCCAAAATGTGTTCATGGGACTGAATTATAATAGGGATTAGAACCGACTCCTACCCCCTTCCCTAAAATGCCATATTATTTACAATGAATCAACAAAATGTGAAACTGTAAGGGCTAGCACACCATTACCAGGGTTACCAGAAGAAAAAATTACAATGAACCTTATATTAAACTCATACACACTTACAAACATAACATACACACATACAAATATATACGTAAGCTTGAGATGTGTAATGTCCAAACGTCAATAATTTTCACCAAGTCCATATCCTTTAATCCGTTATTCTTCTGCTGAGTCCCGTCAGTCTGGTATTCCGCTCTTTCTCCTGTATAAAACAACCAATCATAATCACTCAGGGTTTTTATCTCTCCAATTAGGAAAAGCACTAACGGTATTTAATTGAGAAAAGTAGCAACAAAATAGAGATATTATATTAAGAATTTTCTATCAATTCACATCCTGAATTTATATTTGTATCGAAAAAGTCATAAATTAAATTTCATGCAAGTTTTAATAAGTATGGACTCAAATGACCTATTAAGAAAGTTTGTGCATGGACTTAGATGATTTACTAAGAAAGTTTGAGCATGGATTCAAGTAACCTACTGAGAAAGTTTGAGTAAAAAGTGTATCTTGCCTTCTGATGTTCAAATCAAGCCACCAATCTGGAATCTTCTTCTGTCCTATAGGTTCTTCTATGACTGGTGTAGAATGCCAGTCCAACTCTCTGTCTGTTAACAAAGAACAAAGGAAAGTTGATAAAATAATATTAACACATTATCTAATGACAAAGAAATGATATTTTAAACAGAAAAATATGTGTTATGTTTTATTTTTATGTTAGATAAAAGTTCCTCACTTTCCATACAAAACATTAACGCTCTTGAATACTAGCTAGATCCAAACTAGCCTAACTTTATATATTATCAAATAATATAAAGAGTTTAACAGAACTAATGTTCTTAAAGTTATGGAATTTTTCAGAGTGAATTGAGTAGAGCTTGTATCTTACCCTCACTTGTACAGTAGGTTGCAGTCAATGTGTATTCAAACTTTTCCATCAACAGTAAGATTTGATCAAAACCAGCCTTGTCCCTTGTCTGTTAACACCAAACATGTACAGATCAGTTTATGAAGGTGTGAAGAATTCACCAAGTGAGAAATAGAGATATAACTTTACAGAATACAAGGAGTGGATCTTACTTCTTACCATTTCCTGCATGCCAAAGTCAATTCCAGCTCTCTGTACTCCTTTAGTTGGTGTTTAACTCTTCCTAACCCAAAGAATGGGTGACTGCAGTCAAAGATTGCTAAACCATTATTCTGTTAACATAGAAAGTTTAGAGTCAAATATGTGTTCTAATTAGACAGAGAATAGAAAACGAAATTTTGATAGCACAGAAAATGCAGATCATTTCCTACCACTGAACAACTGGCTGCTGGCAAAATGGACACCCTATACTCTGGCAATGATCTCCTCTTACTGTGTGGCTATCTGGTGTCCAGCTCTGGGCGTTCATGTTGACAGGTGATGTAATCTTCCAGTATTTTGTATCTCATTTTCTAAAGACAGAGATTTTACATCAACAGAAGCCCAAATCATGTGTGAAAGAGCAGAAACAACAGATTTAGTATATTTGATTTCTATCTTACCCTTTCTTCCATGGCTGGCTGCAGTGGATCTTTCCTGGCTAAACTCCTCCTAAAGAGTGATAGTTGTATTCTCTGCCACAAATTGAAGCCTTTCTAACCATTGTTCTGAAAATAAAGAGAGTCAAGAGGATGTAATGTGTCTTAATGGGGTTGACTCAAAATAAAAGATATCAATCAATTAAGTATCATATGCAACTTGTTTCTTACCATGTTGGCCAATGTTAGCCTGTTGGTTTCTTCTTCTTTGATCCTAGTCTTTATTGAATGGTCGTCCTCAGTTTGGCATCTGTCCATTCCTGCTGTCATCTGAAATATTGTCAAGAAATCGATAGTTTATTTAAGCTCCAAGTAGCTTAATTATAGAATATTGAGATTTTAGATCAAAGATTCATTCTTCATCAGCTTAGATGAGCACATAAATCATAATCAAGTGTAAAGAAGCACAAGCCATGGATTCAGCCCAATTAATCTGTATCTTACCCTTTCTTCTATGGCTGGCTGCAGTGGATCTTGGTTCCGTGGACTCCTCCTTGTAAGTGATGGGAATGTTATCGACCATGAAATCAAAGCTTGTGTAACCATTAATCTGTTAATATACGAGTCAAGAAGTCTAATGAATGTCCTTATTGGATTGACTAAGGACAAAAGATAGCAATCAAAAACAAATGCAGCTTGCCTCTTACCACTTTGGTCAGTATTGGTTCCTCTTCATGTGGTCCTCCTCTTCCTTGTGTGGTCCTCCTCTTCTTCACCACGTGGTCCTCCTCTTCACCATGTAGTCCTCTTCTTTTTGTGGTCCTCTTCTTTATCATATGGTCCTCTTCTTTTTGTGGTCCTCTTCTTTACCATATGGTCCTCTTCTTAAATATGTGGTCCTCCACATGCAGTGTGTGTTTTACCATTTTGGTCAATGTTGGATTGTCAACATAGTGGAAACCCAGTATCCTGGTTATGATCAAATTGTCATTGTGTTGTCGTCTGTAATTTTGCATCTATCTTTACCTCCATCTAAAAGGTACTTTTGTTGATTAGATACTAAGATTCAAGACCAAAGACAGCTTAGTTTATAAAAGTTAAAATTAGCAGAAGAAATGGAATCAGTAATTTTTTACCATACCGTCTATTAAGTGGTTGGCTACAGTTGATCCTAACTCCACGGACTCTTCTCACAAGTAATGTTGTCAGATTGAATTCTTTGTATTGGGATTTGTACTAACTACAATTCATTTAGAACAGAGTTAAAAGTCATTTAAGTTCTGTTCCAGTCTTAAATAAAGTGAAAATAGAAAATCAAAATCTAAATCATGAAAAAGTGTGCTGTCTATTTCTTACCACTTTGGCCAATGTTGGCCGGTTTGTGTAATAGATACTGAGTAACCTGGCAATGGCTCCTCTTCCTTGTGTGATCTTCTTTCTTGTGCGGTCCTCTTCCTCTTTGTGTTGTCCTACTTTTCTTCCCCATGTGGTCCTTTGCTTCTTTGTGTGGTCCTCCACATGCAGTGTGTGTCTTACCATTTTGGTCAATGTTGGATTGTCAACACAGTGAAAACCCAGTCTCCTGGTTATAGCCTCATTGTCATTGTTTTGCATATATCTATACCTGCATCGAAAAGTTTAGACACAGTTTACTTAAGCTCTTGGTACTTTTGTTGATTAGATAGATTTCAGATTTTTAGTTTACAAGAGTTGAGATAAGCAGAAGAACTGGAATCAGTCATTTGTACCTTACCCTTTATTCAGTGCTTGGCTTCAGTAGATCACAATACCCTGGACTCTTCTATTGAATAAGTGTTGGACTGTTGGTGGAATGCATTCATTGTATTGGGATTGGGGCTAACTACAATTCTGTTAAAATACAGATTCGAGAGTCAAATAAGTACTAGTACCAGTCTTAAATAAAGTGAAAATAGCAAATCAAATCTAAATTGCAAAACACCTGTTGTTTGTTTCTTACCACTTTGGCTAATCTTGGTCTGTTCTTATAGTGGATACCCACTATCGCGGCAATGGTCTCCTCTTCCTTTTTTGGTCCTCTTCTTCACCATGTGGTCCTCCTCTTCTTCACCATGAGGTCCTCCTCTACTTCATTGTGTAGTTACCTTCTTTGGCTGGTCTTTGTAATGTCGATGTGTTGGTGTCTGTAATTTTGCATCTTTCTTTACCTGCATCGAAAAGTTTAGACATCGTTTACTTAAGCTCTTGGCACTTTTCTTGATTAGATACTAAGAATTCAGATCAAAGGGGCTTAGTTTACAAGAGTTAAACTAGCAGAAGTATTGGAATAAGTTATTAGTACCTTACCCTTTATTCAGTGGTTGGCTTCAGTTGATCCTAACTCCCTGAATTCATTCTTTGTATTGGGATTGGGGCTATCTACAATTCTGTAAACAAAGTCAAAAGTCATTCAAGTACTAGTACCAGTTTTAAATAAAGTGAAAACAGAAAATCAAAATCCAACTTGCAAAAAAAAAAAAACAACTGGTGTTTATTTCTTACCACTTTGGCCAATGTTGGCCTGTTTTCCCAGTGGATACCCTGTATCCTGGCAATGATCTCTTCTTCTTTGTGTGATCCTTTTCTTCAACATTGTGTAGTCCTTATTTTCAACATGTGGTCCTTTTCATTGTGTAGTCCTCTTCTTCACCATGTGATCTTTTACTTTGTGTGGTCCTCTCCTTTTTGTGTTGTCCTCCATATGCAGCTTCTTTTTAACCACTTTGGTTAATGCTGGCTTATCAACAAAGTGAAAACCCAGTGTCCTTGTTATGACCTCCTTGTCAATGTGTTGGTGCCTGTAATTTGGTATCTATCCAAACCTGCATTGTAAAGTTTATACACAGTTTAATTTTAAAGTCTTGATTCTTTTGTTGATTAGATTTCAGATTTCTTAGTTTGCAAGAGTTACAATTAGCAGAAGAAATGTAATTAGTAATTTGTATCTTACCCTTTATTCAGTGGTTGGCTTAAGTTGATTCCCTTCTTTGTATTGGGATTGACTACAACTCTGTAAACAATGTCAAAAGTCACTAGTAATAGTCTTTAATACAGCGAAAACAGAAAACAAAATCTAAATTGCAAAATCAAAAACACTGTCTATTTCTTACCACTTTGGCCAATGTTGGCCTGTTTTTCTAGTGGATACCCAGTATCTTGGCAATGGACCTCTCTTCCTTGTGTGGTCCTCTTCTTCCTTGTTTGGTCCTCCTCTTCTTCCTTGTGTGGTCCTCTTCTCTTCAACTGTGTGGTCCTCTTCCTTGTATGGTCTTCTTCCTTGTGTGGTCCTCTTCTCTTCAATTGTGCGTTCCTCTTCCTTGTGTGGTCCTCTTTTCTTCAATTGTGTGGTCCTCTTCTTCACCATGTGGTCTCCTTTTCCTTGTGTGGTCCTCTTCTCTTCAATTGTATGGTTTTCTTCTTCACCAAGTGTTTTTTTCTTTGCGTGGTCCTCCATGTGAAGCTTGTTTCCTACCACTTTGGTAAATGTTGGCTGGTCGACATAGTGGAAACCCCACCTCCTGGTTATGGTCTCATTGACATTGTGTTGTCATCTGTAATTTGACATCTATCTATACCTGCATCTAAAAGTTTAGACACAGTTTACTTTAGCTCTTGGTATTTTTGTTGATCCTATACGAAGATTTCAGATTTCTTAAATTACAAGAGTTGAGATTTGCAGAAGAAATGGAATCAATAATTTTTCTTACCCTTTATTCAGTGATTGGCTTAATTTTAGTCGAGCTAAACTTCCTGGACTCTTCTTTTCAAGTAGTGTTGTCAGAGTGCATTCTTTGTATAGGGATTTGGACAAACTGTAATTCTGTTTACATAAAGAGTCAAATAAAATCTAATACCAGTCTTTAATAAAGTTACAACAGAAAATCAGAATCTAAATTGCAAAAATAAAAACTGCTGTCTATTTCTTACCACTTTGGCCAAATTAAGTTGGCCCATTGTTATAGTGGATACCCTGTATCCTGGCAATGGTTCCCTCAATGTGGTATCTGCTGCCTTCTGTCTATCCCTAGTGCCCTTGAGAATGGTAGAAACTGACACAAGATTAGTATAAGTCCAATATATTGAAAAGGATCCTTTTGATACATCATTCTCACACAAAGACATGTAACAATAACACATTTGGAAAAGGTACAAACAATCATAAATGAAAAGGGCAAAAAGGTGAGTTCTGTTAGTAATGTAAGTATGAAAGGGAAGGGGAGAGAACAGCAAACAAAAATATGTGCAAAAGAACCAATACATCTCACCTTATGTCTGGCTTAATTAGAAGATCAAATAACAACCTTATCTTGGGCTCCCTGAGTACCATTGGCTCCATTCTGTCTAAATTACATCTGCAAAATGTTTAATTTACCAATTAAATTAAAATTTAAATAAAATGATTCATTGTGCTAATATATTTAAAACCCACAGCAAATGAAATTTATTAAACATACATCATCTTAAGTGGAGAGGGCTTATATAGGCTATGTCTGCTGCCTAATCCATTTA